GGGGAATCTGTTTATCTACTGAAGTAATTATTAGAAGGAAGAGAAATTTGCCTTTTACTAAAATAAGATCTTACTTTTAATCTATGCAAATGATACTTTAATAGTATAAGATGTATTGGAATAATAAGACTATGCTAATCCTTTAGGTCCTATTTTTGAGAAAAGTTTCTTAATAGCATATTGAAAATAATTCAATGTGGTTAAAAATATACACTGGAATGACCACCTGTTTTGATGCTGTTATAATGGAAACTTCTATTTTAGGTTATTTATGACAAAGGAAGGAATTTTAACCAGAACTAACCTCATTTTCTCTTATACCCCATTTTCTGACCACCACTTCCCTGAAATAAATTCATGGAAAATTTTGATATTGACACAGTTTATATCTGAAGCTCTCCTTGTCCAATGTAAAAGTTCCTATTTATGTCAGTTACAGCTGTGTTAGTTCCCATTCATATCAACATTCATTTCAGTGAAGGGGAAATAACCTGTACATTGCCACATCTCTGGATTTTCCTGTTTCCTTCTGCTTTTTTAATAACTCTCCATGGTATCCAAAGACAAGAACTATGAATACAGAATGATGTCAACACAAATGCAAAGAAACAATTAAAAATCAGGGACCTAGGAAAAAACATTTGTGAGCCAGGGCAGCCTGGGAGGACTATTTTACTACTCCAGAAAAATCCCTGTGCAAATGAGGTACCTTGAAGGCTTGTCATGATTAACAAGTCCAGAAAAATCTGCCTGCTGCATTCCTAACCAGTTATCCGATTTACTCGCATGCAGTCTTCCTAAAGCAGCATGGTATAGGGTGCTCAGAAGATGTGTTTGGGTTGGGAGAAAAGTAATTTTCTCTCCTTTTAAGGAAAAAGAATCAGCAAGATAGAATAATTTGATCAGTGAAGTGAAGTGAGAATTCTAGTCATTTTGATTTGCAACTGTACATATTAAAACAATTACTGGCCCTGGCCAGGTAGCTCAGTTGGTTAGAGCGTCGTCCCAATATGCCAAGGTTGCAGGTTCCATCCCCAGTCAGAACACATATAAGAATCAACCAATGAGTGCAGAAATAAGAGGAACAACAAATTGATGTTTCTCTCTCTCAAAAATAAAAAAATTACTACTTTGTTCTGCAACATTTGCTAAGTTTTCTAATATTTGCCACTCCTGCAGCAATAAACTATGAAACAAGATGTGAATTGGTTATATTAATAAGCACAATTTATTTTACAATCAACACAAGAAATTATTTAACACAGTGCTATCTTCAGCCATCACACTCTAGCTCTGCTTAAATACTGCACACTCTAAAAACTGATGCCAGAACATTCTATAAACGACAGTTATAAACCAGTTTCTGGAAGGAAAGCCCACATGATAAGCTTTTCGGAAGATAAAAGCCAGCCTTTCAGGTGGAATATGGCTCGTGAATTAGTTTTACAATAATTGTGGAAACTATGTTTAGCCATAATTTTATCAAAAACGTCATGCTGAGATAACTCTGGCGATGCCTTAATTCCCTCTGGGGAACCTGGTATTTCTGAAGGTGCACATACTATATGTAGAGAATACATCCCTGCAGGAAGTACATACAGTTCAGGCTGCTCAAGGTAACTCTATAGAAAACTATAATTAGCTGAACTAGGGCAGAGATGTTTAAACACACAGGCTTTCTTCATTTCCTTACATCCTAATATGTAGAACTCCACTATTGTAAATGCTATTTATATGCATTTTATCCACACATAAGTTATGATTTTTTTAACTTCCCATCTTTGTAGCTAACATTTTTCTTTCTTGAAAATCTCTCTCCTACACCTGTTCTACTTGACCCTTTGTCCCCTAGAGCCTCTATTTCTTCTTTAAGGGGATTTTTTCCCTTTTGAGAACAATTGCTGGAAAGCTGGCCTCAGAAAGGAAATAGAAATGTTTCTCCTGTATTTTGAAAAAAATTTTCCATAGGAATATCTGTCTAATTATAGAACAGAAATCAGTGGACATTAGGGCATGGTAGACACAGCTCTGTTGGCAAGCATCTATTCTAGGAAACCCTGCCACGGTGCCATGCGGGTGCCACAGGCAATGGGGACAGTCACGTGAGTTCTCCAGCCCCTGCAGGGTGAGGACCGTCCATGCTGGCGCGTGCTCCGGCTTACTCCTCAGCTGCCATTGGGCCCGCGGCAGCGCCCTGTGAGCATTCCAACCCCGCATCGCACGGAAGAGACGCCTTCTCCCCTTCCACAGGCTCTCTAGGGTCGCCATCCTCCTGGGAGCCTGCCGCGTCAGCCGCTGGCCGCTCTTCATCAACACCATTCAAATCGACATCGAGTTTGCCACCTGACACACACACACAAAGTCATTTTGTTTCGACTTCCAGGTATTATTTCATCATAACAGCCACATGAGGTAAATTATCTCTCTTGTTATTATTTTACAAATAGGGAAACTGAAGAGAGAGGGTTTAGGGTTTGCTAATTTGCTCAAAGTTTCACAGCTAGTAAAGCAACAAAACTGGCATTTGAATTCATCGAGGGACTCAGGCTCCAAAGCCAGGCCTTGAAATCAGAACTTGTGTGGGATCTGACAAAGTCTGCATTAGAATACAGCTTTGCCATAAATTAGCTTGATGTCTGTCTAGGGTTACTGTCTGTACAAAGTTGTTTCCTTACCTATCCTACATTTGTGGCAAATGCAGGTGCTTGTAACACTTAGAATAGTGTGTGGCCCTGGCTGATGTTTAGCAGCCAGGAGTTCCCACTCTGCTGACAATCCTGTTCTCTCATGTGACTTGTACAGAACATGACCAGCTGTTATTTGCTGCCCTCAACACACAGGATACAGGTTTCGTCCAGAAAACAGGCAAAAGCATGGCCATCAGAAATCCTGACTATTCTCTTACAGTTTATTTATACAAATTAGACTTAATTTTTTACAGAATATCCAATCCCACTAATAGTGTTTCTCAACCAAGTGGTAAAGGGGACATGCTTAGTATCAAAGTCACCTAGGAAACCTTTTCAAACTATAAGGATTCTGCAGAATGCTTGGTATATACTCTGGGGTGCAGTGTAGGAGTGGGTGTGCACCCCCCAGGAAGAGCTGAAGCAACTCACTGTTTCCAACCAAAATAAGTCACATACTTCCTGAGGGAGGGAGAGGAAAAATACTGTGGAACTCACTGCTCTGACACTTGTAGAAATATATTAGATCTGCAATTCAATTGGAATTCATAAATCCGCTCTAATTTCACTTACAGTTTTTACATTAAGAAATTTAACAGCTTCCAACCTTGAAATCTTTGGGTAGCCATTAGGGGAAATTTAATTATTCCCTTATTCGAAGAACTTAAAATCCTCTGTGAGAAGAATATAAGTAAATACTCATTAAGAGTCCCACAGTTCCAGAGCAGTCAGATAGTAATGTGGAACAAAATCAGAATTTGGAACAAAATCAGAATTTTATGTCTTTTGTTTTCCAGTGACACCTAGGCTGACATTATCCCCACCAAAACAGGGACTCAAAATAGGGACCATTCGAGACCACACATAAGTGTGATCATTATGCTGGTTACCCCAAGCTTCTCTGGTCCCCAGGGAAGACTCAGTTCTATCATTCCCTTCCCACTAAGCAGCAGTATAAGCTCTATTTTTATATACGTACTGTTCTCTTCACTCTTTTCTTTGGCAGCCTCCAGTTGTTGTTTCTCATAAATGTCCTTGAGATTCTTACAGATTTTCTTATGTGCAAACCAATGTGTTTTCTGGCAGGTTTGATCACAGTATATTACCTGAAAGCAGTTGTAGGTTTATTTGCATTTCAAGTGCTGTGATTGCAGGATTTTTCAATTATGACATTAAACCAAGAACTATGCTATAAAAATGATAAGTTTCCTATATTTTATTTTGAAACCACGATGTGTGTGTATATTGATTTGTATTAGTAATTTTTAGCTTATCCTTTATAATAATAATGGATATATAATAAATGGTCTATGAAAGACAACAAATGATTTATCTGAGAACCTACTACATGCCCTAATTGGTACAGTGCAATTGCCCCAGAGGAAGCTATGGTCAGAAAAGAGCAGGATGGGCATCATGGAGGGAGTTAGACACATAGCCCAGTATAGGATGTAATAGCAATGGGAGCACAGAGAAAGCAATGACTCTCTCTACTGAAGGAGTCAGTAGACAAAGAAACGGGAAAAGCATTCCAAGTGCAGGGACTGTCTTGTTCAAAAATGCAGGAAAGGGGAAGTGAGTGACATGTTCAAAGACAGCAAGAAATTTGTGTGAATGAAACTTAGACCTTTGCAAGATTATATGCCAAGCACTATGGTAGCCCCTTACACATGAAAGGTGGTGTAGGTTATATTATTGGCCCCAATTCTTCATTCTTCCCTGCATCCATGCACTTTCCCATGTGATGGCAAAGTTCTTTACACTGGAGGGGAGGAAAACTGACTTTAAATTTGGTTATGTGACTTGTTTAGGCCCAAGGAATGAGACAGCATGGCAGTTTCAAGGCTGGACCTCAAGAGGCCTCATCTGTGTTTCTACTTGCTGACTTACACTTCTGTCATCACCATGAGGACGTGCTCAGCCAGGCTGCTGGTCCACAGAGGGTGAGAGAGACATGGAACAGAAGTGCCCTGACTGAGCCCAGTCACCCACAAACATGGGAGAAATAACGATTGTTGTTTTAAATACTGAATTTTGGAGTGTTTTTGTATGTAGCAATAATTAACCTATACAGACAGTCTCATTTAATTCTCACGACTCTAGTCCCATTTCACACATAAGGAAACTGAGACTCAGAAGTAAGTGATTAAAGGAGATAAAGCTGGAGAAATAGGTTACAGTGGAATGTAATGGGTTACAGAAGAATGTTAACCTTAAAAACAACAGAAAATTAACCTTATCTAGAGGGTAAAGCGAATGCATGTGTGTAATATCTGAATGTGAGAAAAACACAACAAGCAAATATTATTATAAAGAATTATCTTTACAAAGATAATTCTGGCAGAAGTAGGTAGTATAGTCCAGAGAAATTAAAGATTGGGGACAGTCCAAAGGGCGTTATAGTTTTACAAGGAAAAGGTGATGAAGAGATTATAGTTCAAGTCAATATCAGAATCTTAAGATCATAAACTTATGAGTTATCCTATTCTAGGTTCTCATCCTGCACCAGCCTTGGTTCCCTATGTATGATCTTTGTCTTATTTTCTCATATTTATTCATTTATTTATAGCTTTCCTTTCTTTGGGGTGGTCAGCACATAGTTGGGGCAGCCTGGACATTTGGCAGAAGATAGGACACAGAACTACACTTATCCTTAGCTCTCTTCCAAATTACTTTTCAGTTTTAGATGCAATACTTTATACCTAGTGTATTAAAATTTATTAGAAAACTAATGTCAACATTTACAGAATATTCAAACTCAATTATCAACTTGGACGAAATCTAACCCAGATGTCAATAAACTTCAAAGAACTTCATTCTTACCATTTTGCAGACTGAGCATCTTTTACTCGCTCCCTTTTCTCCACAGGTAGTGCAAAATTCAACATCCACAAAACCCACCTGACCAGTGATGGCCTGAGTAAGTACAGAGAAGGCAGTGGGATCGGAACCCTGGAATGGGTATAAAGAGGAGGAAAAACACTCTGAAACCACCATGGAAAGACTACTAAGATGACACTCCCTGAACAATGTTGTCTAGAAGCAGACACGCAAGAGATAAAATCATTAGGTCTACAGATTACACCGACTTTATCATGACAAAATGACAAGTACCCTTTGAGTACACCTTTTCTACACAAAGTATAAGGGAGGTAAGTCATGGCTCCAAACAGTCAAAGAGGAGAAGTTGGCCCTCTTCCAGAATAAAAGTATTTTTCAATTAGGATTATCCAATAAGCCCACAAAGATTTCTGATACAGGACAATGAACTCAGAGTGGGATTTTCTTAGAACATTGTTTTACACTGTTCTGCATACTTAATAGTCAAACGAAATATTCAAAAGAATTAAAAGTAGCACTCATTTCGAAACTGTTATGCTCCTCCTGAAAACAATAATGACTGGGTTTCCTTTGCTATTAAAGTGCTAAGAATTCTCTTTTGGAATGAAGATAGTACTATGGTGAGAAAATATAGGTGAAATGAAACCTCAGATACTAGATATTTAGGTTAATATATTTTACCAGGAATGAAGGTCTATGGAAGTTGTGCTCAAATGATAGTGTGCATCAAAGAACTTGCTTAAAATTCAGATCAATCTGCCATCCTCTACCTTCTAAATTAGAATCTAAGGATGTGGTGGTCCATGTAACCTGCTTTATTACAGATAATTCTGAAACATACTAAAAATTTGAGAATTATTGGCACTTAATGTTACACTAAATACTTATTAATCTATGTAATTTTTTTGCCTTGAAAGTAGAGTACTGGATTAGACAATAATCTGGTCCACAAATTAACAGAATATGATATATTCAATAGATTTATAACAATTATATTTTAACGTTCCAATATTTTTTCACAGAAGTGTCTGAGACATGTTCAAAATCTCCCCCCAAATTGGACTTTTCTGGGAGTCAGAACACAATAACATTCTCACAGTTACCAAAGATAAAACTAAACAAGCATATTTTGCTAGAAGCATGACTGGTAATGTGAACTTAATGCTTCAGAAAAAAACTGACACAGCTGAGTAACCACATGGAATCTTTCTTGTCACTATTGGATAACAAGAACTCTTTCTTGCTATATATAAAATCTTGTCATCTACCTTTCAAATAATCTGTTTAGGTACCAAAGCTCTGCCCATGGAAGACAGTCTAAAAATTAACAGAATACTGTAATTCATTGTATCCTATAAAACAGGAAGTTAAGGTATATGCTATGAATTGATAAAGAAAATTAGTTTTAACAGTATAATCTGTTACAAGGCTGGAGCAACATTTCTTAAGGGTATCCATGCCTCACACTTCCTGCTGAACTTTGTGATAGACAGAAGCCAGAACTCCACACTAGGCAGAGGAGTGACCCTCGTGGGAGTCAGCTGGAGAAGCACCATGTTATGGGAAAGGTTAGCATTGTTTCAAGGCTTATGAACTTGCAGTATCACAAAACCCATCAGGAAGTAAACAGTGGCTATCTGGGACACTCATAACCACAGGCAGTCCAGATAAATAGTTTTGTAGAGAGCAGAATATATAACTCTTAAGAGATCAAACATTTTTAGACATTTTTCTAAAATGCACCAACTCCTACTTTATTAATAAACCTTTTCTCAATGACTCAGATCACTAGGATAAACAATCATAGTACTCCACAAACTCTAACTACATTCTCTGTGATACAGGGCTACGATGATGAATTGTTGACCCCTACACTGACCTGCTTTGACGTTTTTAAGTACTCTGGGCTGCTATTTTTAGTTCTCCTGCTTTCCTCCTTGAAGGCAGAATGTCAGCTACCATTTGTTAGTGCTAGAAATACCCCAAAGCAGCCATTGCTGGTTGTTTCTCTGACAGCCATTTCCCCAACTTCCTCACTAATAGAATCATAATTTTGTTCAGAGCTGCAGTGTTTAGACCAGCCAAAAATACTCATTTTCCCAGATGCCTGTGCAGCTCAGAGTGGCCATGCAGCATAGGCAGTGGGGTTCTGGGACTGCTTGCTTCCCAGCTACAGACCCCTTTCCCTTTTTTGCCTGACTGGGATAGGAATGAGAACTTGGGGAAAGAGCACCGTATGCTTGCAACCATGAGGTGATAAGCATGAGTATAAATCTATACAGTTAAAGAATGTTGAGTGGGAAAATGTTTGGGTCCCCAATCTACTTATTTTTGAGCCACTGTGCCATATCTGGTCGGCCTACTTTGGGGCTTCTAAATAAATAAATCCTTATTTATTTCATGGTTGGATGGAGTTTGATATTATAGCCAAAATATATTCCTAATTAACAAACATCCTCATAATTTGCTAACTTTAATCTTCCAAAAGCTTAAACCCTAAATAGCCAAATATGTTAAACAGGGTAAAGCATCTCTATGGGAAACAATGGAGAGTCCTCATGCATAAATCAACGCATAAATCAATCTTCGTGAGGTCATCTTGTCTGTTCATGTCTTTCTTATTATAATCGTGGTTCTGAAAAGGTGAAGTCCTAATGTATAAGGGAGCACTTGGAATGCATTTCTAGTCCTGATTTTTCACAGAGAATGATGTAACACCCTAGGGATGGCAGAGAAGAACCGACACTGCCAGAGGAAGGGAGGAGGCCATGGATGAGACTAGTGTCCGGATCAACTTCTTGCCTAAGAGACAAAGGCTGATAAGGATTTGATTGAAACTTATTAAAGCTTGACTTGTGTGGAAAATGTGAACAGAAACTTATTCAAAATAGTGAAGGCAGGGAGTGTCTTATGAAATACTGTTTTAAGTAAATATAGGACAAAGGGCAATAGGTAACTTAAAGAACAGATAATTAAAAAGTTAAAATTTACTTCCCATAGCTGCAAAGTATAGTTTTGTTTTTTTTTAAGAATGGAAAATTTATAAAGTCAGTAGGTTCCACAAGAAGCTGGAACATATTGTGAGACTGTTTATAAGGGCATACAATGAGCCAGGCCTCATGCCTTCACCTCTCCACTGACCAACACCATCAACCTGCACGACCAACTCCTACTTTCATCTAGTGCAGGACCTTGGCCTGGTTTTTCACAAACTACAGTGAACATGTGTATCTGCATCATATAGCGGATGTGCACCCACCTTTACAGGTTCATGGAGGTATTTTAAAATGCAAGTCTGCTCTGTAACCATCTACATTCCAACACAGGGAGATAGGGCTTTTAAACCACAGGCTATATAAATGGGAGAAAATGATCAGAGGAGGGAAGTGGGTAAACAGGAATAGGGCTGACAGGCCTAGCTCCACACTTGTTCCTGAAAACTTTCTCAAATAGTAACTGTTCCCTTTATTAAATAATTAATGCTAAAGAGAACTTGCCTCTAATTGTACCAGATATGCTATTAGGTCTTCCAGATAGAGTTAAAGGTTATTAAGAGCCTTACAATTTCAACGGGAGCAATGCTTCGCACCAGTTGCTGGAGGAGGGTTGCTTCACAGTAAGGAAATTTTCTGATACTTTCTCTAATGATCTTTTCTTGATATATCGGAAAGCCATCAGAAGGTCGGCCTTTTAACAAGCTGAAAGATATTGTTTAAACAGTGATTGGAGTTGGATCACTAAGCATTTCCTCCCAGCCAAACCCATGAACTTTTAGTAGTTTCTCCTTGGCTATTTAAGGTTTTCATTGCCTCTTCAAATCATGATGATTAGACTCAAACCTGCCTCCAGGTTGGTCTGGGCCGAGTCAGGTTTAGGGGCCTGGAGAGGCATTTATAAAAGTGACCCCTGCCATAAAGCACACAGAACACTGCTATCAGATTAGCTAGTTACTTATTACCAGGTCAGTTATTTGTACAAAGAATGAAAACTCAGCAAGTCACACCCTTCTGACTTAGTTCACTTTTCTCAGGAAAACTAGGAGAATTTGATCCCTGGTGGTGAGAGAACAAATGTAACACACAGCTGTCCCAGGTACAGTAACAGAGACACACTGAGTGCCACTATGCATCCAGAGCACCACCTAGGGCACAGCACACCTGTCCTCACACTTGGACTTGGACTACCTTCCAGCTGCATGATCTTCTGCATGCTATTTAACCTCTCCAAACCTCAGATTCCTCACCTGTAATAGAGGATAACAAAAACACTGTAGAGAGCACAGAACGATCAGTCTACAGTCTAAGCATAAAATTGTCCCTGTTTCTTGCAGACTAAATGTGAAACCAGCAATAACTACTACTAAAATGCTTGTGTTTTAAATCTATAAGGAGGCTTCATGGAATAAAACATTTCATTTCAGTGTATTTTATGCACGACATGGTAAAAACAGTACCTTTTAATCAGAGTGTCCAGTTTATTCTCTCCGTCTTTTAAGAAGGTAACGCATTTCTGAAAGATACAGCTGATGTAATGCATTTTCATAGCCAACACTTCATTCATGTCACTTTGCTTCATGCATTTCTCACAAATCAAATCCATCACCTTGTAACATTTATTCAGAGCTGCTTCTTCTGCCAGCAGAGGATTCTCATTTACAAGCATCACGATCTAGAAAAAATTCTAGTGAGCTTAGAAATTCCATGAGAGACTTTTCTGTATAAACATTAGGTAGTCAATTTTAGTTGATTTCCAAAGATTACCAATAAAGTCTTTCTTACAGCCACATATTTACTATGTTAATTCAAATTAGAATGCAAATGGCCTCAATCAAAGTTATAAAACTAATATAGAAGGACCCCGATATTGTAGAATATCTTGAACTCTGGATGTCCAAGTTATCATATGAGCTGCCATCTAGGTGTTAGCTGGCTACTCAGAGTCATGGTTTTAGTGTCTGTTAAAAGTACTTTTGCTAAAGATATAAATGGCTTATTTGCACACCCTTTATATATACAATCAAATCAACAAGTGATCACTACTTTTAGTTAACATCACTGAGCTTTAAAATTTCATGGATAAAAGAACTACGACTCTCATTAATTCTTATTAATTATAAGGAAATGAAATTTTTATAGAAATAAGTCTTAAAAATAAAAGGTGTATTCTTTCTGATTAACTACATATTCTCTGTGGAGATTTTCCCTATATATTCTAATCATCCATAGTAATGAAAACAGATCAAAGAGGAAAGCAAAAGTAGCTTTAAAAAGAGGAATATTAGAGTTATTAAGTCTGATGCACTGTGAGTCCCGAACTTCCTATGTATGCTCAAATTTAGTGTGGTGAGAAGTATTTCTTTTTACTGGCTTTGTTATAAGGTAGATTACATGCAGTAGATCTACAGAGGACAGCTATAAAAATCCACAGTGATGTAACAGTAATGTAAGCATGTGTGTAACATGGGCATGATTGTATGAACAGAGCAGAAAGTCTCTATTTTTAACCAGTGTGTTACAGCTGAATACCTATTCCAGGTAATATAAATGTTAGGGAAGAACAGGTAGCAGATTTCAAGAATTAGTTCCTTTTCTTCAGACACAAAAAAAGATAATTTGTTAAGTAAAACACAGGCCTAGCCTCCCACTTGGAATTTTTATATAGATTAAGTGTTCTTGTGAATTTAACATGACTTTTACTTATTTTTGATACTACTAGATTGATATATAATATCGCACTCAATAATAAATTATTAGAATTCATGAAATAAGTATAATCAGAATCCTCGTTTGTAAATTTGCTGACAACTTTTCCTACCATACATATATCAAAAATTAACTATGGTAGACTCATGAATTAGCCATTTATATTTCTGCAGTCAACTATAATCATTTAAAGGTGTTTATTCACTATTTTTGTATATAGCATTTCTAATTAAAACATAGGATCTTAAACTAAGATCTTCAAAAAAATCTCAAACAGAATCCAGATTAATGATTTTTTGTTTGTTAAGACATTAGGCTTTATTTATTTTATAATATACAGCAATATATACAAAAAATGTTACATCACCACAGCTCTACCATGAGCTTCCGGAAACATTTACATAGCTGCACACAAAATGATAATACTTGACCTAGTTTCCTCTTTTTAATCTCTGTGACATTATAAAGTAATACATAATGAAAATCATTATTATTCATTAGTGAAGAGGAATAAATATATTCTGTAGGTATAAAAGCCCAGATATATCTCATCTCCCAGAGAACAGCAACCTTAGAGTATGTTTATACAGTGGCATTTTGAATTCTTTTTTTTGTAAATTCCATTTTTAAAAAATTACTAAATCAACAATTCTGGGCTTAAAAGTCATGTTAACAATAAAAAATGAGCTCATTTGCACACATCTGCTGCCGTGCTCAACTCTGTTGTCATTTTTCCTGTGAACCTTATTTTCTCCTTTCTAACCTCTGTATTCTGGGCAGTAGCACAATTCCCCAAGTCCCTGTTGAAAACAAACACCCTTATTGCTGTAGCAGCCACTTAACTTCGATGCAAATGAAGTGGTGTCGGGTGCACTGTAGCAAGAAATGAATTTTGTGATGATTTCTGTGCAGATTTTTAAGTCTTTAGCTTTATAGAGTGGCTGTTAATTACATTTTTATCATGCTGCCTATGGAAACCAATGCCAGTTTGAAAAGGTATAAGGCAATGAAAATGGGCCATCACAGAAGCAACTGGGCAGCTATTATCTGAAGTGTGGATAAAAGAAAGGTTTTCAAGTGAATACAGCATTTATCCCTACAAAAAGCAAGGTCTGGTCTGAAGGGAAGTACTGTAATCATAGAGTCGTAGCTCTTACAAGACCAAATGCTCTAAAAAATATAATGTAGGCTATTTCAGCTTATATACTTTTATAACTTATTGCCTGTATAGATATACCCTTAATCTGATTTACTCAAAATAATTGGAGGTACCATAATTCTTAGGACATTTAACCCTGAGACTAGGTTCCCTGTAAACATCAAAAATTACTCCACAGACTCAATTACTGCAATAATTGAGATTATTGTCATCTTAAGAGGATGGAAAAAAGAGATAAATGACACTGAATCAGTCTACACCAGAATATCTAGTAATGTTCAGGCTAGAGGCGGAACAAGGGCTTTGTAAAAACACACATTCTCTACATTGAGAAATATTATATCCCTAGGAAAAATCCTGACTTCTAACCCCAGCCTGCCCCTCCTAAGAGAAAGAGTGCCATGGAGATGCAGTTGCTGCTATTCACAGGAGATCTCGATGTCCCCTGTGTGCTGGGTGGACAAGAAGCGCTGATGTAGAAGAGGCTAAATATTTTTTAAAGGTTAAATTATAAGACCTTTGTAATCTCCAGTAGAAATACAAACATGTGATTCACAGCTGAATTTCTTCTTTGCCCACTTAGGATCACAAGTTTGCCTCTAGTGGTTTTTTCAGAATGTTAAGTAAAACATTTGAATTTTGAAAAATAAAATCAAGATAGACTCTACTTGTCTGTCTTATGGTAAAAATCTGCTAGTTCATCATCTTTCTTGATGGCCCAGAAAATTAATTTGGGTGAAGGGTCACATGACAGGTATATTTTGTTCGTTTGTTTCTTGAGCTTCAAAGTCTACATTGCAAAGGAATGAATCAATAAATAAGGTTCTATACAATTTTGAACTTATATCTTCAAATTAGCGTGTACCATCAAAAGAGTTTGTGAGAATTGTCTACTTATTTTAATGGTGTTGAGTTTACTATAGAGATTCTTCTTTTGTAATAGACTTCTAAGGAAATCTATTTCACTACATTGTAACACCACCATGTATTAAGGGAAAAACCTCAGTTTTTGACCCAGTGTACTGTCCTGTTCACCAGACAGCTCTGAATTACTATAAATCTATATATTATGAATGAAGACTACAAGAGACATTGAAATCTGATCAAGAACAGCATTATTGTAGCACATGTGGAATTTTCTGTAGTGACTCATTAAAGAAATTATACTCATTTGGTTGATTAAAATTTACTTTATAAACAAACAAAAGAGTTGTATATAAAATATGAAAATAGCAGTGAAAATAGTTCAGAACAGCTCTTGAAGTCTCCCAGTTAAGCCATTTGAACTTCTGGGTTAGTTGTCAAAGTTTGAAAATCTGTGTGATATGAATAAGTACTGGAAGAACTGTATTACTTAAAGTCATCAAATAGCTACTTGCCTTAAAAAAATGTGTTCATGATTGCATTTCAGAACATTTCGTAGGACAGCTATCAGAGTAGACGCTGTTGGTGCCCCGCCCAGATCCTCTTTATAGGCCTGTGTACCAGGTCCCTGCTGCTGGGAATATTGGCTGCTATGTGCTCAGAGCTGCCTCCTTCCCCAGGGAGCCACCAGACTTGGCACTATCTGGAAGGCTGTCCTTTTCCTCTGGGGACAGGCCCCAGCCAATGACTGATGTGAGAGCCTGCCCTCCTTGCCTCTCCAGAGTCATTAACAGTCCAGAGTTCCCGGTGAGATGAAGTGGAAGCTAGGCTTCAGCTGCATCCACCCCTTTACCTAAGTTGTCTTCCTCTCTCCTGTCCTCACTATGTTCCAGGTTTCAAATGAGAGCACTCCTTCACTCTGTCAACTGAGTAAGAGAGCCCATTGCAAGCTCTGCATCTACAAGACCCAACCCAGTACAATTATGATCCTATATAAGAAGAGCAGTTTAGAGTCTGAAGCAATTTTTAAATAAAAAGCAAATATAACAGACACTACACTACCTTGACAGGATGAAGATTTGTTGTGGTGATAACTTTGTGCAGTGGGCCTGCCAACTTTGGGGGAAGTTTCGGCTCTTTATCCAGTCCCTGGGGTTTAGTGTAATAATCCAATCTCTCTCGAGGAAAGAAATTGTTGATTACAGTTACACAATCATGTTGACCTTTTAACAGAAAAACAGGAAATTTGGTATTTTATTACAGTAAGGCATTTTCCAAATTTTTTTTATGTTGCTCTGTTTTCTTGTGCGATAAACATGCATTAACATCTTTAATTTTCAGGAAAGGAGAGTAGAGGTGGAGAAGTAAAAGGTTATAAGCATGCTTTGTAAAGTCGAGGGAAAAAATCTTCTAAAGACACAGAATCCCTAATATGTATAAAGATTATGTGGATTACAAAAAAAGCAGTGTTCAACTTACAATTTTTTACCCTAAATATTTTACAAAGGTTGCATGTAACTTAAATGTCTCTTCTTCCACCCTACACAAGTAATGGTCATTATTCCCTAGTCACATCTCGCTTTTGTTATATAGAAACTTAAATATATTCTATAGAACTTTTGTCATAATTACTATTCATATTAGTAACCTAATCTCCCCTCCCCTGGAATTTGAGAAAAGCTGGGCTCTGTGAAATGCATTAGAGAAAAAGCTTTTGCTCTCATAAGCCTGTAATCCACATTATGGCTTCTGATACATCCCCATGCTACTTCGCTAAACTGTGTCTAGTGATACATATGGTTCTAAAAGAAAAGTTGTAAAACAGCTCCTAAAAAGTATTAAAATAGACGTAAGATTTAAAGATAAAGGGGTGAGAGGAAAACGAGGAATTAGCATTTAACTTTTATCTTCTCATCAGTCCCCCAATAGTATAGTCAGAAATAGCCCTGTTAGGAGTTGAAAATATTAAAAATACTGGCTACATAACAATGACACTGTCACAGGACTAGGCATTTCTTAAGATTACACTCTTGTGAGAAGGAAAAATATTACTTTACTTTTTATAAGATTAATCTCTTTCATTTTAGGTAGTGCTGAAATTATTTTGACATTTTAGTCTAATCTGCTAATAATTTACATTTATAATTTATCATTATAAATATATTTTACTTAATTTATATTTAGACTTTTATAATCAAAACTATTCAGTAGTTTTACTGGTTTTTAATTTACGAATTCTGAATACATACTAATAAAGCAGTACCATTAATACACAAAATAAATGCTGGGAGTAGGGGGAACCAGTGCACCACTTTGCTCCAGTGATTACTATCACCAGACTTGAGTCTTCTAGATTGAATGGGCTCCCTCAGTCAGTCCTGGACAGGATTAATGAGAACACATACACAACTAGACACATCCTAGAAAAAAGATTTTCTTTTTTTTTTTTTTAACTTTCAGGGATAAACTGAAATTGAAACAGGCTTCCATAATGAGAATGAAAAATTTATAAAGAAAAAGAAATCAAACTCCCATGTGCAAAACCAGGATTAGGAAAACTGTGGAGTAACTTCTACATGTGATTTCAAGAAAAGAACAATGATACATGAATCATGAAACTGCCCAAGATATGACTCGTGTTCTCCAGAGAAAAAGATAGTTTTGGCTATGATGAGTTTCAAATAATATACAACCTACATACCATCTGAGAAGGTCCTGTCACTAAAACCTAAATGAGAACAGAGATGTCTAGATGGAGTGAGGAGAAAGAGGAAACAGTGGAGACCAACAGCCCTTGGCAGCAGAGATCATCCAAATGGGTGGAGAAAGCATGACTGAAGAATTGTACTATAGACCATGAGAAGTACTGAAGGAGAAGTAACACACTATGAGGTACACTTTAGTACATTTTGGTACTAAAAATACTAATCTCTCTCAGCAAAGTTCACAGCTAGGAAGTGACAGAAGAGGAAAGAAAAGGCCTGTTGCCTAAAAAACCAAAACAGAGGATGTGAAGAAATGAATGAGTTTTAAGGTTTCCTCTTTTTGGGGTGGATAAACGGGCAAATACAGGGTTTTGGGGGTGGGGCACAGGGTATAGTTTTGTTCTTGTTTTTAGATGATAGCTGAGAACTATGGGTTTAATTGGGAGTGTTGTGAATAGGAAAGTAAGCACTAGTGGAATGAAAAACATTCTTGATAGTTCAAGTTAATAAAAGGAGAAATAAAATGTACTCTATAACATGACCAGGTCAATCACATTGAGGAAATACACACACACACACACACACACACACACCCTACCAAGTAAAATACAGAGTAAAAAACTGAGTAAAAGAGGAGTGCAATCAAGTTTATCAGTAATTACATGAAATATGCATAAGCAGAATGAAACCTTTTAAAAGAGCAAGAATATCTTTTGGGTTATAAAACAGAACCCACCTACATGTTAATAAATATCTAGGTGTAATAGTAGTTACACTACTAAAATGAAATAATAAAAATTGAAAACAAAGGGATGGGTAAAGAGTTTATTGACAAAATGCTAAAAACAAAAAAGGAATCAGGAATGGCTATAATATCAGAAAAAGTAGAACTAAAATTTAAGACAAAGAGTGGCATTAATGCAATAATAAAACCAAGAGCAAATCATAATAAAAAATGAAAGGCTAAAAATATTTCCATTAAAATGATAACACATGCCAATTATCACTATTACTATTTCTTGTTACTTTGAAGCCTGAAGCTAATTCAAATAGAAAATAAGATAAAATTGAATAGCTATTAAAACCCAGGAGACTAATAAAAATGACAAGAAAAAGAAATAAATCAACAGCTATTGGAGATAAATATTTCTCTGAAGTTTGCACAGCAAATGCCATACTTTTCTCCAACCCTGCTGAAATTGAATTAAAATAATATTTGTTCTCACAGAGCTGTCATAAAGTGACTCAGTGACTGTCTTACTTAATCAATGGTAGCTACTGGTAGTAGTTTCATGATAATTTGACCGTAAAATTTAACAAAATATATAGTTTCAATACCCCATATCTGATTAATTCCCATTCTATCTCAATTTAAATTTTATTTCTCTTGAACGCCCCTTAGAATAAGGATAGAAGATCCCTTCTTGATGTATTTCTATGGAGCTGTAAGTAGTCCCTTGGAGTAGACTATTTCACAATGCCCATCACTGCTATTATCCTCAAGTGCCATGAACACATGAACAGCCTCTCTTGTTCACCAATATAACAAAAGCACCTAGAGTGAAGTTTGGTATATAGGTTGTGAACATTAAGTATTTGTTTAATGAATTATTAGTCCCCACAAGGCCACTTACGGTGCTCCCTGTATATCGGATGTTTATAGTTTTTCTATCAATGGACTCTTCTGCCTGCCAATTTAGTGTGGCCAAAACACCAGTGATCAAATATTCACTCCCATTCTCTTCTAAACCCTCTATATTATGTACAGTAACAGGATTAACACATCACGAAATATTAGGCACACACAATAAATATTTGTGGTTGATGAGGATGATAATGAAGCAGCTGTATATTATTATTAATGCTCCCTCCTATGAAAGAATTACATTATTGTAATTATAATTAACAGCAGTAACTGATGGCATTTATTTAGTGCTACACATAAAGCTCTATCATTTCATTTAATCCTTTCAGTAAGCATGTAACATGTTACAATAAGGAAGCTGAAGGTCAGAATCAGTAAGGAACATGCTATTGAGTAGCACAGCCAGAATGTAAACTGAGGACTGCTGACTCTGCAATTGATGTTCTTAAACATTAGGTTACACTACTTTCCTTAGAAAATAAAATATACTCATTCAAAGTATCTAACTACAACTAAAACAGCTCCACCATTCTTTGTGTCTCACAAAGTGGACATTTAAAATAGCTCGTTCACCTCCAAAGTGCCGTGGGTATTCCATTGAGTCAGACAAAACCTAGTGGGCTATAAACAGTTAAAAAAAAAACACAACAGTATTTGTTTTTTGAGAAGCAAAGTGACATTCTTCCCATTGAGAAAATTTGGGGTACAACCTCATGTGAAACTGCCATAAAATAACTTACCCACAAAGGCTGCCATCTGAGCTGCTGTTCTTCCTACTGAGTTGACAACATCTGTCTCAGCTCCAGCCTCCAACATTACCCAGGTGATGTCTTTACTACCTAGGTTTTTAAAAGGGAACATATTTGTTAATGTTAAGGAGGGTACAATTCAAACGTCGCCCTATCTGTACCTCTTTTTCCCCACAAACTTTTAGGTTTTCATACATAAATCATAAAGAGTAAAATGCTAGAAGAACCCACTAGAAATTAAACTTATTCTCTGGAAAACACATCAGGCAATATAAAAACTGAATAGAAATATCACCTTTATTTTTTTTATAACAGAACAAAATATATTTTTCCTAATGATAATGCTTAGTACAAAGTCAAAACAAACAAAAAAATATCAAAACAAAGACAAAAGTGAATAGAAGTCTACTTAATATCTACTAACCCATCCTTTACACCTTCAGGCCCTGGGATAACTATTAACAGTTGGGGGTCTACCTTTCTACATTTTTTTGTCTGTAACCATCCTTTACATTTATTCTACTACAGATATTTGGCTATTATAAACTACACTTAGTGAACAGCATTTTCCATTAATTTTTGCAACGTGAACTACAATTTCCTGAGGAACAGCTCCAGGAAAACACTGCGGGAGCAAAGGTTACACATATGTTAAATGCACTTTGCCAGGCTGCCTTCCAGCAAGGCTGGGCTAATGTGTACACTCCAAAATAGTGCAGAGGTTCCTGTGCTAATGCTGGGCATTGTCACTCTGCCAAAGTGGTAAGTGAAAAATAATCTGTTTGTTAGCCAGTTGTATTGCTTTTGTTCTTTTCAATTTTCTGTTTAATTTTCTACTGCAGTATTTGCCATTTCCAATTGATTTATAAGACCTTTTCATTTATAATAATACGACCTTTAAGACATGTAATATATATTTTCCTTAGTTTTCCACTTGTGTTTTAACTCTATATATGGTATATTCTATATATAGAAATTTTAAAATTATATGTGGTCAAATTGGTCAATGTTGTCCTTTTTGAATTCTGTATTTTATGTAATGCTTAGGAATGCTTTTCTATTCCAGGACTATAAAAATACAGATTACTGCCTTTAAAGTATGATATTATAGTACATCTTCATTTCCTTAAAAAATGGCAACAATTTTAGATAACTCCACTTAATTTTAGATAATATTTCCCAACTGTCTTTATTCAGCAAATAATAAGCAACATAAATCAAAATAAGTTTCTAAATGGATAGTCCCATTTAGTACCTAAATGCCAGTGCAGCAAACATGCACTCCAGCAGAGCAGTTGTTTTCTCAAGAGAACAACAAGACAGACAACATCAAGGGAACCAACCTGAAAGAATAACTGATCCAGCTCCACAACTCTACACAAAATACGGGGGGGGCAAAACTATGTTTACACTTGTTCATATGGAAAATAATAACAATACAAAAATAAACTCTGTGTTTCGCATACTCACAACAGCAAATCTACTTTTGCCCCACACTGTATATTGTCAATATAAAGAATCAATTGATTTTAATAACTAAAAAAATTACCAAAATAACTATACATTTCATATGTAATAACTTTTGAAAAACCAATCCCCACCATTATTTTCTATTAGAATTGACCTTAAAATTACTATAATAAAAATGCATTGCATTTAAAAGTATATATGTACTTCTAACAAATTTGTGTAGGTAATTACTAATAGTAATATATTAGAATAAATACTAAAACTTCACCAGAAAGCGCAGCAAACATGAGGGCTGTGTATCCATGTTCATGTTGATGACAGTTTACATCAGCCCCATGTCGCAAAAGTAATTTGCACATATCAAGTTTTCCTTTATATGCAGCATGCATTAGAGGAGTCATTCCATTCTGTAACAGAAAGGAAAAAATGTATTAAGTTTACTTATTTGCCTTTTCACCAACCTATGAGCAACTCCTGCAATTAAATTAAAAACATAAAACAAACATGAATTAATAAAATTAACTTTATAATCTGTAAAGTATTTTTATATTCACTTCCCCACCTGCATTTTCCATGAACTGCTGAGGAAGATGGTCTTATTGGTTTTTGTTTTTCTACAGATTAGCAAACAAACTCAGAGAAGACTTGCCCAACCTCATATAACTAGTCAAATGACCAGGGCAGAGACCAGAACCCAGGTTACCAGGGCTCTCATTTCTACCACACATACTTAGTTCCTGGGGAAACAAATAAACACACAGATACAAATGCATTAAAAAATAATAATACAGAAAAAATCTCAAAACAAATAGAATTCCTACCAAGGGAAAAATTGAATAAAGTATGAGAAAAGCAAGATGCAGGAAATGTACATTACAGTGGTCTCATTTTTAAAACAATGCTCTCCCAAACTACATTTATACTTTGATCATATATATGACTTGGTCATATATACAAGACTGTGGTCTTATATAAATATGGAGGAATGGTTGGTAGTATTTACATTGAGAAGCTCTCTCATTGGTTGACTCTGAAAACAAATCACTGCTAAGAAGACAGCTGGTAAACAAGAAACACCAAAAAGCAAAAGCAAAAAAGAAACACAAAAGCATTTTTTTTAATGAGAAAAAGGTAGTGTCAGGAAACGGAGGCAGACAGATAAATAGGTTGATGTGATTAACAGAGGTGAAGCAGACATAAAGCGAAGACAGTCTTTAATATAAGCTTTTCACATCTTTGCTTGTAAGCATATTATCACATTGTACTGAAAGCTGATTTAATTTTTTTCTTTAATTATAGGACAGTGCTGTAGTCTTGGGATTATTCACTCTGAGCTAGACAACCTGTCATGGTAGGATGGGATTGCTGAGTGACTGCCCACCAGGCTACACACTAGCTTCTTATGTAGTTATATCATCCTTTAGGGGTTATCACCCTGGTCATGCTCTGAATACATTTTTGCCTCATTCAAAAGGTAGTGACTGTATAGTCCATTCCTACTCCCTTAAAGGTGCTTCTGTACAAAGAGATTCTGACTACCCACACCCACCAAAACCACTCCCAACATTTAAGTGCCACATCCTTATAGACACACCCAACTAGGGGAGTTTTAAAGTTATAATCTTACCATTTTTCCATTACTACTCTCAAGAAACTTTGACTACTCCCATTAAGTTGCCTCTTGTACAACCACCTGAAAGGTCCCATCTTCCCCATAATTCTCACATCAACAGTCCCCTGAGAATATTGATGGCTTATGTTCAAAATAATAGTCTTGAATCATCAGGACCAATTCAAATTATGTCAGCATTCTAAAGTTTACTAAAGTGAGAGATTATATGTTTTAAGAGGTTTTCATTCAAAACAACTTTGAAACTCCAGCACTTGTAAAACTTAGAATATTCTTGGTTACTGAGAAAATTAACTTGGAACAGCTTATTCTTTTATCTACCAAATAGTATTAGGTACCCAGTACATAGGAGGTTGGATATTTCATTGGATATGCAAAAGCATATGGAGACTAACAATGTAGTCTCCAAAGCTTTTGGGTCTTATATTACAAACTGTCCTCATTTTATGTCTGCTTGTGTTTTAACTGTCACCTCTGTTAATCACATCAACCTATTTATCTGTCTGCCTCCCTGTTTCCCGACACTACCTTTTTCTCATAAAAATAAAATGCTTTTGTGTTTCTTTTTCCTTTTGCTTTTTGGTGTTTCTTGTTTACCAGTTGTCTTCTTAGCAGTGATTGGTTTTCAGAGTCACCCAATGAGAGAGCTTTTTTCCAAAGAGGTAGTGAGCTATCCCAATCATGCCGCTTGCTGTGTAATCTCTGAACCTATTTGTGTCATGTTTATAATACAGTATTTTTTCCCATATCAAATTTTTTGATAAATGTAGTGTTTTCAGTCCTAAATAGTAGGAAGTTTCTCACTCTATTTCATCTTTTACCAAGAATTATTTAAAATTTTTAAAATATTTCAGGTTACATGTTTTACTATTTGGATCATATTTTTGTTCATTTTCAATGTATTCTATTATGTTTGGTGAATTTGTGTGAAATTAGCTAAAATTTCTTTTATAAAACAGTACAATACATAGACTAATTATCAATGTTCCATGTAAAAAAATGTACTGTTTTTTTCTGTCTTAAACACAGCACACAGACTGCTAATTAAGTTATCCAAATTTTCTGCCCCTGAATTACTTTTTTTCTACTTAATCTGTTGTTTCCTGAAAGTTTCTACTATGGTCTTACAAATTTCTCATTTTTTTTTTTTTTTTTAATGAACATCAAAGCTTATATGCTTATAAGTGAAGGCTTAAGACTGGTATGTTCTCGGTAGATTATTAATTTATAAGAAAGAGTTTTGATCTATTAGATATTTCTTTATTTTAAACTTTATTTTGTCTGATATAAGTTTGCTATACATGTGTGGGTAAAGGGTTAATAAAACCCCTCTTCCTTCTGCACAAGAAACTGAAGTTGAGTTAACTTTCTAGCAGCAGAACTGTGCTGTATAACACAATAACCACACACAGATAAGGCTGGTATTGGACACCTCAGAATACACATTACCATCATCTCAGAGTTATTTTGGATAGCAAATGTTCTATCTAGAAAGCTGAGTGTAGGTATAGTTAGCTTTCCCTAGAAGTAGAGTTGCAGGACCAAAAGGACATATGTTTAAAAATAACACAAATTCTGCCCGGCTGGGCGTCGCTCAGCGGTTAAGCATCAACCTAGGATCCAGGCAATCAGGGTTCAATTCCCGGTCAGGGCACATGCCCGGGTTGCGGGCGGCAGCCAATCAATGACTCTCTCATCATTGATGTTTCTATCTCTCTCCCTCTCCTTTCCTCTCTCTGAAGTCAATAAAGATATATTAAAAAATAAATAAATAAATGAAAATAAAAATAACACAAATTCTAATATTTTCTCAAAAACTGATGCCAATTTACACTTAATCCATTAACATATAAAAGTCCAATGTTTCCCACATTTCACAAGAAATGTTATAATTTAGGTTTGATTTGCACTTATTTGATTACTAATACAATTAAACAGGTTCTTACCTTTTGTGACCTGTCTGCCTACACTTGGTTTAGTATTAGTATAACTTGAGCACAGATTCTAGAAGAACAATTCTTTTTTGTTAGTCCTCACACAAGGATATTTTTTTCATTAGATTTTTTCTTTTAAAGAGAGCGGAAGGGAGAGACGAGGAGAAACATCAGTGAGAGGGACACACTGGTTGGCTGACTCCCGCACTTGCCCCCACAGGGGCCAGGGATGGAGCCTCAGCCCAGGAGACCCTTCCGTGCACCGCCCCACGCGCTAACCGCGGGGCCACACTGGCCAGGGCTAGAAAAACAACTCTTACTAGATTTTATATATAGTCCACTCTCACAGGCAGTAAAACACTTTATTAAACTTTTTAAATTTTTACCTCATCCAAACAGTTGACACGAACATTCTTGCTGGCTAATAGTGTTCCAGCTTCTTGGACACTACCTAAAAAAAAAAAAAAGGTTATTTATCATTAGAATAGGAAAAAATCTAACGTGGGGGAAACAAATTAAAGGCTTATCTGTAAAATTAATACTAGTCAGGTTAGGTTGTTATGAAATAAAGTATCAATCACACACTATTTATTCTACCAAGAAATTATCTGGAATAAAAGATTTATAGAAACTAAAATAGCTCCATCTTGTTTTTATTTCCACTGACCTTAGGTTATATTAAATCGGCCACATTTTCCTTTTGGCAGTAATACAATAACCACAAAGTGTAAGACTCTTACTACTGAAACAAATCTTAAGGGGCATCTAGTCCAACCCATCACTTAAAGCTTAAATACCAGTCAACGTAATAATTGGTGTTCAAAATACAGTCAGTATTCATATACTTTGTCACCATTAGGCCCTGTGAATTGATGACATGCTTGTAATAGCATTCTTGGTTTGGAAATGCTCAGGTAAACATATCTTTAAAGCCTGATACTATATAAAAGTACCCTATGATCAGTATTTAGACTCTCATGCTAAAGTCCTCTGATGTAATCCTGAAGGTCAGTCCTCTATAAATTAGAAAATGAGCTGTAATTGGGCCACAACTGTCAGGTTTTTCCAGTCTTCTGTGAGGCATACTGATAGAAGCAAGTAGCTGCAGGAGAGAATGTTGCTATTATCATCATAAACGAGTCAGCCACAAGTTCTGCCAAAATGATTCTGGTTTGACAGGGAAGAGAACAATGAAACTGAATGTTCTCAGGGAGAAAGGATGAGATAAGCCTCTCTTCCAAAAGGACATAAAATAGGAGCACCCCCAACTAGGAGTTATTTCTTCTCTTTAAATTTAGAATTATAGTTCAAGAATGTGCTAAGTTCTGCTAGTCTTCCAGACTAGCATTCTGGAATGCAGAATAAAGATAAGCATACTTCTCTCTCTCCCTGACCTGCTTCTTAGGCAAGTCAAATGCTTGCTCTACACCAACTTACAACAGAGAAATGTCTCCTAGATTGACAGAGAAATAGCTCTGCTGGAGAAATATCAAGTGAATGATTTCCAAGTCCCTGGATTGTGACAGCAGCTATTTTGCAAATAGTACACTGTCTGACCCTCTACCCCATCTGCAATGCTACAGAATGAGAAGGGAAAGCATGTAAGCAGCATAGAACCTTACTCCTACCTGTGACTTCTTACCACAGACTTTCTCACAAACATCTTTAGAGTGGCATTGAAACAGAACAAAAACTCCCACACCCCAATTTCACTTGAGGAAGATGCTTCAGCTGAATCCCAGTGTCCTCCAAGGAATAACAGGTTATTTTCCATCTGATCAGGAGATGATTATGCAGTAAAGGAAGAATACTACAGGGATCATGAGCATGTTGAGGCCTGCTACATATTAGGGGGGGATAAAGATTACAGTCATAAACATTTGGCTCACGTTAAAGAACAGACCAATGATTCTATAAACTGTTTAGCCCAATGGCCAACAATCTAAATTAAATCTGTCCTGTTAGAGAGCAGTTAAAAAGAAATCAATAAAAGGTGAGGCGTGAACAAACATACCACTGCATGCAGGGAATAGGATGAGAAATTTGTTCCTGAAATGGTTTTGGCTTATAGAGAATGAAAACATATCTTAGAAAATAGATGGGCAAGATATCCAAAGAGGAAAACTTGTGATGATTTCTAATTTGTTGTTCCTAATTTAATGGCATTAGTAGAAAATTACTGATAGTCTAGAATAGCATAGAAATGTGAAACACAGGGCTCAGGCAGGATTTTTACTTTTTTCATTCCTTACTGTCCACAGTAGACTCTCAAACAATATTTTGCAATTAAGTTTATTTTTTAAATTTATCTTTATTGTTGAAAATATTACAGATGTGCCCCCCCCAACCCCTT